TAATATAAGTTCTTATTTTGCCAGCTTCATGTACTCAAAATTACATCCTTTAGGTTCTTTCATTTTGAAGTGTCAAACATGGAGAAAGTGAATCCACTTAAGAGCAAAATATTTAGGAGGGTTACTTTGAAATACATCTTTAAATTGGGAGTGGCTGAAAAAACAGAATTTAATTTGATCTAGGAAAAGCCTCAAGTTCTAGAATAAAATAGAACTTTTTTTTTTTTTTTTCGGAACTGGGGATTGAACTCAGACCAAAATTGAACTTTTAAAAAGTATAAAAAAACTATAGAAAAAAAGAAAAGACAATTGTATTTCCTGAAAATGTATGGAATAATAGAACCGAGATGATATAGTTATACAGTATAGTAGTCCCTTCTTATTTCATGGTTCGACTTTTATGAACTCACTGTTTGGCAGGTTATCAAAACATACTAATCTAAATTATTTATTGCAGATTTTTTGCTATATCACAGGATTTTGTAGTACATGTATGTTGTTAAAATTACATAGGTTTACGAATTTAGAAAATGGTTAAGAATATTAGATTTGTTTTTAGAAGTGTGGAAAAGGTTTATAAGACTGTGGGAAGGGTTTATAAAGCCTTAAAATATATATAAATACTAAAATATAACATTGCTACTTTGCTGATTTTCACTTATTGTTGGAGGTGTCTGGAATGGAACCTTTGTAATAAGTAAGGGACCATTTTTATCTGATATAAAATTTGTGAAAATATTTGGAAAGATAAGATGAAGTAGATAGTATTTAGTTAAAAATTAGAGATTTTTGGAAATGTAGCTCAGTTGGAGCGTACCTGCTTAGCATAAGTAAGACCTTGAGTTTGATTCCCAGTAGTGCCAGAAAGAAAAACCAGAATGAATCAAATGGTCTACCATTTGTACAGTTTATTAGAGTAAGTAAAAAAGTACTCCATCATATGTGCTTATTTGAGTGTTACTTTGTGTGGAAAATGTGAATCACAAGCAGGAGTGGGCTGGTTGAGTCTGTCAGTGACTCTTGGCTAATACACCTGACAAATGTTTTTTTTTTTTTTTTTTGAAAACAAGTAGGGGCCTTGTTAACTGCCAGAGACTTTCCCAGGCTTTTTTTTTTTTTTTTTTTTGAACTAGGGTTTTACTTTCAAGGTCAGTTCAGGCTGACCTTGAATTCATAGCGATCTTCCTGTCTCAGTCTCCCAAGTGGGATGGATTTAGTAAATGCAATCAAGTTAATATAGAGGTTTGTGGTGTGTATTTGGTACCTAATCAGTGCTGTTATATTTTGTAATTATAGTGGTGGTATATATTTATTAATATTAGCTATGGGGAGTACTTTTAGTAATTTTAGTTTTTTTTTTTTTTCAAAAATTGAATTTAGTGATTCTCCTGTGTCTTGGCCTCTTTAAGTAATTGTATTACAGGCATGTGCCACCATACCACGCTTCATGTATATATCTTTTAAGTATGCCTGTGCCTTTTCCCTCTAAAAAGGAGAGAGAGTGGCTCTTGTGCTGACTTGTCACAATGAGATTCTTATTTTCCATTGATTGTCCTTAGCCAGGGCTGATTTAGAGAAAATTAAAAAATAAAACAACTCACAAAAAACCGGTGAATCTTAGAAACAATCTGGAGGTCTAGATCTTGAGGAGCAGGTACTGTAAGTCTTGATGGTAGTACCATTTATGAGTGAAAGGCTAACAAGATCTGTATGAGGTATAATAATCTAGTTTTACCTTAATTTATCTTTGAACTCCCAGTTTTTGTTTAATACTATATCAGGTCAACAGTAGTAGCTATATAAATATTTATTTAAATGACTGAGTGGAGTATAATACTAAGCTTTCAGGATGATTTAGAATTTGTCTGGATCTGTGCCTGGGGTACAAGCCTGTAATCCAGCTCTCAGTCTGAGGCAGGCGTATCAGTGTAAGTTTGAGGCTGTCCTGGCTAACATTGTGTTCAAGGCCAGTGTAAAACTACATAATGAGGCCCTATCTTAAAAAAAAAAAAAAAAAAAAAAAGTTTCGGTTTTGTAACATTTTGGAGTTTGGGATTTCTGGATTAGGATACTTGACTTATCGTAAGTATCATATCCTACTAGTTTACTTCATATACATTTTCACAGTGAAAAATAGTACTGTTCTAAATGTTAGGAATGGCCAAAGTGTGACTTATTATACAACCTGGATAGTCTTTGAGCACTAACTAGATAGAATACTGGACACCAGACTTTATAAAGTTTTTCATGACAAAATGGAATGGTCACCCTCAGTAAGAATAAACATTTGCTGACTCCCTGTGGATTCACACTATATTAAGATGATAAGTCTTAGTTACAAGAACTTTGGTGGCCAGAACTTCATAAAAACGTAAGACCTTTTTATGAAAATTGAAAGTAAGGTTTGGCTTAAGAAAATGGAAAAGAAATTGTTTTTTATTTCCATAGTGAGAAGAAAGAGCTATTAATAAAGAACATCTGTAGGCTAAGCTCTCTGTGATACATGAAATTGATTGGTTAGTTGGTCACTTTAGCTACATGAGAGTTTTTTAACTGGAGCTCCCCCCCCCAAGATAGGCTCTTGTTAGGTAGTGGCATAGGCTGACCTTGAACTCATGTATGTAGCCCAAGCTGTCTTCAAACTCATAGCAGTCCTCTTTCTTCAGGCTCCCAAGTGCTGGGATTTACTGGTGTGTGCCACCATGCTCTGCTTATTATGAATTCTTGTTATTTTCTTTCTTTATTTGGTGCGTATATATTTATGATTGTTATCTCTTCCTTTTGGATTTTTCCCATTATAAAGATGCGGTGATCTTTTTTGTCTCTTACAGTCAGTCTTGGCTTGAAATCCACTTGTTTGCAAATGGAGTAGCTCCTCCTGATTAGTTCAGGGTTCTTGTTGTATGGAGTATTGTTTTCTGTCCATTGACTTTCAGTCTGTGAATGTCTGTTTGAATCAGCTGTATTTCTTGTATGCCACATATTGTTGGATCTTGCTTCTTGATCCATTCTGCTAGTCTTGTTTCTTTTGACTGGTAAGTTGAGACCATTTACATTGATGTAACCATAGCTGGTATGTACTGACGTATTGTCATGTTATGTTCTTGGCTCCCGTTTTGTCCCCTCTGTGTAATTGCTTGCTTTGCCTGGTGGATTCATTTTGTTGGTGTTCATGGAGTTATAATCTTTGTTATTATCTTTCTAGAATGTCCTTCAGAAAATTTTGGAGTGCTGGTTTGGTGGTCATGAATCTCCTCAGATGTTCCTTGTCATGGAAGTATCTATTTCTCCATCGATTTTGAATGATACTTTAGTGGGGTATAATTGGAGGTGTTTTCTTTTAGGGCTTGAAATACCTTACTCCAAGCTCTCCTTGACTTGAGGGTTTGTGTTGAGAAGTCAACTGTGATTCTGTGGGTTTTCCTTTATAGGTGATTTGTTTCTTTTCCCTAGCAACATTTAGTACTCTGTTCTTTCGTTGAATTTCTGGAATCTTGACTGGTATATGCTTTGCTTTTTTTTTTCAATCATGACTAATTGGAGTTCTATATGTTACACTTAGCTGTATGTTAGATTTTTGTTGGGGGGGGGGCGTTTTCTACCGTGACTTAATGTGGACCGTTTTTACGTCATGTGTGGTGCCTGTGCTTTTTCATTAACTCAATTCAATCTTTTTTTCTTTTTTTTTAAACTCAATTCAATCTTATGTTATTCTTCTTGTCATCAGCTAGCAACTACTGGATTGATTTCTTATGATCCCTTGCAGTTTTTAAGAAGTTTTTCTTTTTATGAGCACTAATTATGTCCCGTCTAATATATCTGAAACTCTGTCCTCATTGGCTCATTGTGCTCTGTATACTTTCAGTGAAACTTTTAATCTCCTGAATATCTGTTTTATGGATTCCATTCCTTTCTGGTGTTGGGCTTTCATGGTTTCCAACATTTTCCTAAACTGCTTTATTTTTTTATTATTATTATTGTATCTGTTCTGAAGTCACTAAGCATGTCTTTTATTATTGTTACCATCTTTGTAATTATCTGAGAAATTTCTGATTTGAGTTTTTTCTCAGAAAAACTGCTTTGTTCACCTGCTTTATTACTTTTGCTGTACCACTCCATGTGGGTGGCTTTCATTGTTCCTTGGGTTTGCCTTTGGTGAGCCGGAATTCTGGGCTTGCATCTTGTTTTAAGTGTCTTCTCATTCTCTGTCTGTCTCTTGTCTTTCCATCTCAGTCTGGCTCCCCCCCCCTTTTTATGTATTTAATACAGGTTCTACAGGGTCGCACTACATAGATTGGACTCCTAGTGATTCTCCTGTTTTCAGCCTCCCAAGAGCTGGGATTACAGGCATGCACCACCACACCCAGTCTCAATTGCTGTCTCATCGCACCCTGGGGGTGGGGCTGGATTGAACCCTGTCCCTGTGTCTGCTTGAGCAAGCACTTTAATCCTCTAAGATGTCTGGCCAGCCCTTCCCCTTTCTTTCAAACCTGGGTTGATAATCTGTAAATTGCTTATGGCAAGTAGTGTTATTAGTAATATTTAGAACTCTTGTGAAATGACTGCTTCTCAGAGGACACCTCCATGCCTAGCTGGCTTTTGAGTTTTGAATCTGTTTTAAGACTTAACCTCTTCAATTGGTCAGGAATGTGAAGTTGCTGACTATTTAGCCCAGTCCCTGGTTCTTTGGCACTGGCCCCCATTATTTTCTATTACCTTTAGGCAAATTAGTCCTTGTATACCAGGCAAAACACCTAATGGGAACAATTATGTCGCCTTGAATAAAGGGGCTTAAAGGCATCAAACACAGAGAAGCAAGAATGGAGGATTATACAAACTTTGGGAAACTTGTGAAGAAGACAGAAGGGAAAGGGAAGGAAGAAATAAAACATGGAACAGAACAACAGAAAATCTTAGAAACTTTGTTCACGCACATATGTAAAAATAAGAACAATCAATTAGGAAAGAAAAAAAGAGAGAAAAGAACAATAACATAAGAGGACCTCTTTCCCCTTGGACTGCTAGGGATCACACTGCTCCTTGGTCAGGGCTAGAGAACAAGGTTAGCCCTGGAGGAACATCATCAGAGCTGCTGCGAGGGGACAACCTTGTTTCCTGCCTTGGACAAGTGTGGTGGCTGGGAACTTGGCTATGGCAGGCACGCTGAGGCTGAGGTGCCCCTGCTGCCTTGGGCCCTGCTCCTGGCCTCGTCTGTCCCCAGCAGGCTCTGCCACAGGTGGGACATCTGCACACCGGCTGTGAGACAGGTGAGCAGTGCCCTCATGTTACCCAGGAGCCCTCAGTCTGGAGCAGAGGCCCTGCATGGGTTAGCATGGCAGGGCTTGGTGAAGAAGAGTAGAGAGTGGGTGCTGGAGAAGGTGTGGTCAAGAAAGTCTGGCCTGACACCCAGTACCCAGCAGCAAGCTCAGGCCCCTCTAGTGAGCCTCATTCCTGCCCCGCTGAAACATGGTGTTTTGGAAGAGTTCTACAGTTCTAAGAGTATTTTTTTCTGAAAAAAAGTTTACAAGAATTGTTGCTTTACTGCAAAATAAAAGCAAAAACTACCCACACTAAATAAATAAATAAAATTTTAAAAGTTCACCTTAGGTCATGTCTCTGCTGTCACTGGTAGACTGTGTGGGCAGGGAGTCCAGATCTGAGTTGTTTAATCCCAGCAAGCCTACACCTTGTTCCACTGCATTTCAGGCTAGTTTCTGGCTTTGAGGTTAGAACCAGATTTTTTTAGCCTACAACAATGTGTATGCCTTCTGCTTGCTGAAAGTCAGTTCCATGATCCGGCCTTCGGCTTTTCTGAGTTCTGAGCTCAGTTGGCCCCTCTCCAAGATGGCTACCAGCCAGTCACCCTTTCCTGGGGGAGAGGAGGACATCTAAAACCCGAATTACCACAAGCCACTGCAGTCTGCTGCATCTACAGTTCTGTTCCATTGGTATTTCTTCACAGAAGCCTCTCTGGTCACCAGAAGTCACCATGGTCTGTGGGTTCAAGGTGCCCTTGTAATGCAGTGTGTCTGGAGTGAAGGAGAAAGCACCACCTGCCACCTCCTTCTGCATTGAGGTCTTTCTCTTCAGGTTCCCTGTGGGCTTCAATTTTTTCATCAAATCTTTGCTGGGTTTCAGGAACCCACTTCCTTTCTTTTTCTCATGTTGCTATATGCCAGTGTCTGGATACCACATATTGGAGAGGCTGTTTTTGTGTTGCTTGCCACTCTGCCCTAAGTTATGTCTTTTAGTCAGCTAGTCTGTTAGTAACTCCGACAAACTACCCCAACACCTACAACTCAAAGTAGTTTATTTTGGCTTGAAGTTTCCAGTCCATGGTTGGCTACTTCCAAAGCAGAAATGGCATGGTGGAAGGTTATTACAGAAGAAAACTGTTCAGCCTGAGAGAGGGGCTGAAAATGATAGAGGCAGAGACAAGAATATGCCCGCAGACCAAGGCCCACTTCCAGGAAGCCCAACCTCCTAAAAGTACATTCAGCCCATGATCAAATCCACATTCCAATCACCAGATTTTTGGTGGACAGTTTATATCTGAACTATAATATGTTAGCAAGCCAAACAGCAAATTATAAAATATGCTGATCAGTTCAGTAAGCCTTCACTATACATATGAACTAAAAATGTTTTTCTTCATTTGAGTATTGGGTTTTAGATGTAATGGTGGGATTGATTGCAGTTTTACACTTTATAGTTGGTAAGGCATATAGGAAGATACCAAGGAATGTTGAGGCTTAGAATGATTAATATATTGACTTAACTCAGGGTACTTTTGTCTTCCTTTTTAGAAATAGTTTTAGGCAGTGAAGTATGGTTGTTTCAAGAGCATGTACGAGCGATCTTGGTTTTGCCATTAAATAACTGTGCCACCTTGGCAAATTACTTAGCTCACTGTGCCTTGGTGACTTCCTCTTAAAATGCATATTGTGTAGTTCCTATCTCATAGGTCTATTAGGAAGATTGAAAGAGTTAGTATGACAATGAGGGGCATACAATAAACACTTGCTAAAATGTAAATAGTAACAATTACTTTTGTCATATAAAAGAAAACTTGTTAAATCATCATTATAAAGCAATATGGCTTGAAGTTTTCAGTCAAAGTAAGCCTGTTGCTTTAGAATTACTAAACTGTGCTTAGTTGTGGGTAAACCCAAAGATGATGAAATTTCATTAAAACTATAAAAATAAAAAAAAAATAATCAGAATAGCCATTTTGCTTTCTTTCATATTTTCTTTTATCTATATTCGTAGTGTGATGTAAACATTGTCATCCTGGTTTTTACTCAGTGTTAATTCAAATACAAGTATTTAACATCTGTGAATGTCTGGATTGGGGATTATGTATTAAACTTGGGAGATAAAATCTCTATTCTTTTGCTTTTAATGTGCCATACTCAGTCAATAGGTAGAGAGCCATGATTTTGAAGTATTGAAGTAATATTTTTCTTGCCCATAAAAAATTTCCTCAGCAGTCTCAAATTTATTGCAATAGCAGTTTAAGTGTAATTATAATTTTTGGTTTAAATAAAAGTTAAATCTTTGTTTTCTTTAGTTTCAATAGCCTATTTCAGCAGACTAAATATAAAAAGTTATTCCTGTAGCCATCATAAATCTAGCCAAGGTACTATAGTCTTATGTCTTATTTCCATCTTTTAATTATGTCTGCTCTGTGTGAATGCATAGAAAGTGAGGAGAGATATAGTCCATATTGTAAGTAACTTTGGAACTTAGTCTTGGTAAGGGAAAAGGTTATTACCACTACTACATTGTTGCATATGTTTCTGTTACTGAAAAGTTGTTAACATTTTTAAAGAAATAGTTATGTTCTTAGTTGTTTTTATTACTATGTAGTATACCATATTATAGTTGTGTGTGACATATAAGCCAAAACGTGAATTCATGTTGTCAATGTCATATCATTCATATTCTTAATTATATTTCTAATAATTATCAATGTTTATCAATATTTATTAATTACATTTAAGAGTGTTTACTGCCTTTGTACTATTCTGGGTAAGCACTTTGTATCTTAATTTTCTCTCATTGCTGAGACAAAATACTCAACGCCCAAAATTAAAGAAGGAAAGGTCTATTTTGTGGCAGTTTCAGTTCGTAATCAGCTAGCTCCAAGGCAAGGTGCCATGGCACAGGGCAATAGTTCATGATGACAGAAAACAACTGTTTCCAGTTACTTTTCTCTCATTGCTTGAACAAAATACTCGACACTCAGAATTAACAGCTTGTGGAAGTTTCAGTCCATACTCCAGCACAGAGTGGCACATGGCAGAAAGCAACATTTCTTGGTGTCAGAACACAGCAAAGAGCAAAAAGAGAGGAGCAGAGGCAGTGGCCTAGAGCAAGCCTCTGTCCCTCCCTTATATTGTATTCTGGCTATCCGTCCCAGGGTGGGTGTAGCACTCACACTTATAGTCCCAGCATTGGATCATGAATGAATCACAAACTGTAGAAGTCTGCCCCATGACTGTATGGGGCTTTTGGGGAACAACTAGACACAAACCATAACATTCTGCATAGAGGGATGAACATAAGTCTTAGGCGAGTCAAGAGATAATCTGAATGTAGTATAAGGAAGGGAGAGAGGCTTGCTCTTGGCTACCGCTGCTGCCTCTGCTCTTCCCTTTTTGTTCTTGTTGCTTTTGCTGGTTTCTGATGCCATGATCTGTTGCTCTCTGCCATATGGAGCCTGCTGATTATGGACTAAAATTGCCACAAGCTGTGAACTAAATACCTTTCCTTCCTTAATTTTGGGTGTTGAGTATTTTGTCTCAGCAATGAGAGAAAAGTAACTGAGACAACAACAGCAACAAGAGCACAAGAGGGAAAGCATTCTTTTTTTCCCTTATACCATCTACCCTAGTGTGGATGTAGCATTCACACCCCCAATCCCAGCATTTGCCAATGAGCCAGTCACAAACTCTAGATTCAGCTGCACCCCAAAAGCCACCCCATGACCACGTGAGGCTTTGGAGGGCACAAACCATAACACTCCACTGCTGAGCCAATGCCTGGGTGTCCAACTTGTTAGCTTACTTGGGTCATGTCAAGCAAAGAGGAATTGTTTTGGACTTTATATAAAATATATAATATTAATGTATATAAATAACAAAAATTTCTTTAAAATATTTTTATAATTTTTAAAGGGGCAACATAAATATAAAACTAATGGAGTATTTGTTCTTGTTTTTGTGAAACTAATACATCAGTGTCTGGTTCAGTGGAAATAGTTGCAATTCTTATAGAGCACTCAAGGTACTTACCAGAAAATTTTGATCTATGGGCCAGTGATCTGAAGCACTTGCTTAGGCAAATGGGCAGGGACTGTGGTTCAGTCCCCAGCACCACCATTTAGTCTTACAATATTTTATTTATTTATTTTGTGGAATCGGGGATTGAACTCAGGACTCTGCACTTGCTAGGCAAGTGCTTATTCTACTGAGGTATCTCCCTGGTCCTTTATTTTTTATTTTTTATTTTACTATGAAAAAGTTATTTTTTATTAATTTTATTGAGAAACAAATAGCAATGAGACAGTTTCAAAACAGGTTAGAACAGTTACAATAATTAATACATTGCATATTGTTGTCTTTGTAGTAGTTATTTATAGTACAAGATGCAGACATGATATCCTATCCAAACACTATTAGTACAGATCTTTCTTTGCATTGAATTAAAAGTACCTGTGTTTCTATCCTATTTTGTATATATAGATACAAAATGATCCTTCATTTATATCTCTTTTTGTTTAGTTTTGTCAGAGATGGTTATTCCATTGCCATCAAATATTGTAGGTGTGTGAATTCAGCAAAATAATCCAATATAGTCCAGTAGTCCATAATAGTAGTGGGTTATCCGTAGGACTGGCTATGTCAGAAGTTGTTGACTTGAGCCTTTTACAGCTCAGAATATTAATATGAATTTACTTTTTATACTCGTTTTTATGTTTCTGTGGGATTGTTAAGACCAAGATAAAGCAAGACCTATATAACAAGAAATGTTACTCTGTATTTGACAGAGTCAATCAGATCCCCTCAGAATTTACCCTGAAACCCTGTACCGCAATTTGTAGATCCTTTGTGAGTGTCAGTCACGTG